GATGAACCGACTAAAATCTTTTTAAAACCTCCAAGTTATTCATTCCGGAATTTTCTCATCCAATTAACAACTATTTTTTTTTCAGAAACGCCTTTATTCAATATTGAACATTTCCGACAAAAGAAAAATCGACCTACCTACCGACGCAATTTTTTTTAAGCGAATAGAAAGACGGCAATCATACTCAATTTTAAAAACGGCCTTATCTTTAAAATTTAATAACTGTGAAAAGGATACGTCACAAAGATACTTGACGGAGAATGACTTCTTAAAGAATAAACTACATCAAACAACACCCAGGAATCTTCCTCAGCATATAAATAAAACAACATCCCCTTGTTCTTCAGATGAGAGTTTTTTCTCGAGAAGGCGTTTTTACGTCGCTTTTACCTTATTGACTTTAGACGCGTATTTTGACGTTACGTCATAATAGAGATAAGGGAGGTTTTTGCTTGGCGCGTCACATATGGGGAAAAAAATGAAAAATCTTCTCATGAACGATAAAGCATGGTTGCTGATATTTATATGGAAGCATCCTTTAGTAGTTGTAGATTCAAGTTTGTTCAAATCATAACCCCCAAGGAAGGGTGGGACCACAATCACAATGGGGATCAAAGTTTTTCATGAGAAAATAGAGGAAAAAATCTTCCTCTCAAGAACAAACAAGAGGCCCATGGGCCACATCGCTCACCTGAGCACCAAGGGTAGGACTAGTATAAAATGGCTTTTTATTGTAAAGTTTAAATCCAAAAGTAGTCCCATTGACCAATCATGGATTTGCTATTTTTTAGAAAATGATTGAAAAGAAGATTTTTAAAGAATTTTCCTATATATTTCTATGTAAAACTTTGGTCGGCCATTTTGGCCCCGCCCTACCCCCGGGGGTCATGATTTGAACAAAATTGAATCTACACTACCTGAACATGTTTCCATATAAATATGATGAATTATGGCTTTATCATTCTTGAGAAGAAGATTTTTAAAGAATTTTCCTATATATTTCTATGTAAAACTTTGGTCGGCCATTTTGGCCCCGCCCTACCCCCGGGGGTCATGATTTGAACAAACTTGAATCTACACTACCTGAGCATGCTTCCATATAAATATGATGAATTATGGCTTTATCATTCTTGAGAAGAAGATTTTTAAAGAATTTTCCTATATATTTCTATGTAAAACTTTGGTCGGCCATTTTGGCCCCGCCCTACCCCCGGGGGTCATGATTTGAACAAACTTGAATCTACACTACCTGAACATGCTTCCATATATATATGATGAATTATGGCTTTATCATTCTTGAGAAGAAGATTTTTAAAGAATTTTCCTATATATTTCTATGTAAAACTTTGGTCGGCCATTTTGGCCCCACTCTACCCCCGGGGGTCATGATTTGAACAAAATTGAATCTACACTACCTGAACATGTTTCCATATAAATATGATGAATAATGGCTTTGTCATTCTTGAGAAGAAGATTTTTAAAGAATTTTCCTATATATTTCTATGTAAAACATTTGTCAGCCATTTTGGCCCCGCCCTACCCCCGGGGGTCATGATTTGAACAAACTTGAATCTACACTACCTGAGCATGCTTTCATATAAATATGATGAATTATGGCTTTGTCATTCTTGAGAAGAAGATTTTTAAAGAATTTTCCTATATATTTCTATGTAAAACTTTGGTCGGCCATTTTGGCCCCGCCCTTACCCGGGGGGTCATGATTTGAACAAACTTGAATCTACACTACCTGAGCATGCTCCCATATAAATATGATGAATTATGGCTTTGTCATTCTTGAGAAGAAGATTTTTAAAGAATTTTCCTATATATTTCTATGTAAAAATTTTGGTCGGCCATTTTGACCCCGCCCTACCCCCGGGGGTCATGATTTGAACAAATTTGAATCTACACTATCTGAGGATGTTTCCCATAAGTTTCATCTTTCCTGGCACAGTGGTTCTTGAGAAGAAGATTTTTAAAATGTACCACTAAATTTTCATTAATTCCCAATTATCTCCCCTTGAATAAGGGGGTGGCCCTTCATTTGAACAAACTTGAATCCCCTTCACCCAAGGATACTTTGTGGCAAGTTTGGTTGAAATTGGCCCAGCGGTTCTTGAGAAGAAGTCGAAAATGTGAAAAGTTTACAGACAGACAGACGGACAGACGGACGCCGGACAAAATGTGATCAGAAAAGCTCACTTGAGCCTTCGGCTCAGGTGAGCTAAAAACTGTATATAATAGTTACATTGTATACTGATATGTCTGTATCATGTAGTGAAGTTTCAAATTTATTCTAATCATGACCCAAGAGGGTAGGGAGGGGCCACAATGGAAGATAAAAACTTTTACAAATTAATACATGGGATGAAAATCTTTAAAAATATTCTCAAGAACAGCAAAATTATCTGCTATGTTAATATGGAGACATCCTCAAGTAGTATCATCCCCACCCCCCTTCCAAGTAAACTTTTGAACACTAAATTGATTTGTGTTTTTTCCCAGCTGATGTTCTCAGGTGAGCGATGTGGCCTATGGGCCACTTATCAAACAAATGTTTCTAAACAAATCAGATTCAACTTATCAAAATTGAAAGTATAATTTAGGAAAATATGATATCTTCATTGCTTTACTAGTAAGTTTTAATTTGTCTACATATTGTCTTCTTGAGCTGCACCTCGAAATTCTGTTCATGTTTAGGAAAGCTATTGTAAAATCATCCCACTGATAAGCTGCTTATTTAAAATTCAATATTAGCAGCATGCCATGTGGAAATTTTGCTTGTTTAAATCAATGAATTAAAAAAAAAACAACTTAAAAATGTATATTTTCCGAATAGCAAACAAGTTTTAAAAAACGACATCAGGTCGATCCTCAAGTACACGCATTTAAATTTTTTTTCATAATTTCTACTTCTTTTGGATTAATTGGTGAAAAATGAGGTGCCTCATTATGTGTATTTTGTGCAGTGTCTTTGATATTTCTTTAACCAGAATCTGCACTTCTGATTTTACATACATACCGGATGCAGAAAATAAATTTGAGAATGGTCATTTAATTGGAGGTTATAATCAAGTAATGTCTTTAGCCGCATGTGTGTCAATGTGTAAGGGCAAATGTTCATGCACTGGATATCATTCGGAAACAAAACAATGTCGATTACATGTATATTGCAACATCAGTGAAATGATACCAGGATCAGGATGGAAATATTACAAGACACAGTGGTGTAAGTATAAATATGTAGCATTTGATTTTATATTTTACATATTTTTTTCAGCATTCTTTTGTACATCAAAGACTGGATTTCTGTTTCTGATAAATGTCAGGATTTATTTACTAAAAATGGTTCTTCTCATTTTAATTTTTACAATTTATGTTATAACAAATTTTTCATTTGCTTGCTCGTGACAAGGAGCACATGGTAGGTCCGATCGATAGGGGATTCTTACTCCTTTGTGGCACTTGATCCCACTTCTGATGTTTTTAGAGGTCCGTGTTTTCTCTGCCCCGAACTTGAATTGTTTCAACTGACTTCGGAATTTGATTAATGTTCGTTATCTCCATATTTTACTTTTATTAAGTCACGACATACAGTTTCTTATTTTCATTCATCAAGAACTGAAGCAATTTATCTAAACCGTTTAAGATTATCGATTAATTCGTAAACAGACTTTGAAATAAAACAATCAAAATTTTCTTTTCTATTTCAATTCACTTGATGTTTTTATCGTTTTTAACCTTTATTAATCAAAGCTTTGCGCATAAGAGAAAAGTAAATTGAAAAAAGAGGTCCATGGGTTACATCGCTAACATGAGCATACTATTTGCGAGAAGACAGCACAAATCAGTTCAGCATTGGAAACTTTACAAGGGGTGGGGACACTATCTGAGGATGCTTCCGTATCAATTTGACTAACGGCTTTGCTGTTTTTGAGCAGAATATTTTAAAAGAATTTTTCCTATAAATTCCTTAATAAAAATTTGATCTTTCATTGTGGTCCCTCTTTAAAGTAAACAAATTTGTATTTACACTTCTTTAGAATGCTTACGACTGATCATGGCCTTGTTGTTTTTTAAGAGATTTTTTTAAAAGATTTTTTTTCTATATATTCCTAATCTAAACTTTGATCCGCGTTGTGGCACATCCTTGAAGAGATTTGAGTCACACTACTTGACGATGTTTCCATATCGATTTGACTAATCATGGCTTTGTTGTTCTTAAGGAGAAGAATTTTTAAAAAAATATTTACTTAATTATTCTACAGTTTAACTTTGTTTGAGGCCCCTTCCTTCCCTTGGAGTCATCATTTGAATTAACTTGAATCTACACTTTATAAAGAAGGTTTCCGTCAAGTTTTAAGTTTTTGGAACAGATGGTTCTTGAGAAGAATATTTTTAAGAGCTGCCAATAATTTTTCACTATTTCCGAATTATTTCCCTTGAAAAAGATGGGACCCTTTATTGGAACAAATTTGAATTCCCGTTACCCAAGAATGCCTTTTGGCAAGTTTAAATGAAATGGGTGCAGTGGTTCTGAAGAGAAGTGTTACAGATGGACGGACAGACAGACGGATTAAAAATGAAATGTGATCAGTTAAATGCTTTCAGCTCAGGTGAGATTTTAAAGTATTAAGTCATTTATTTTCGATTATTTTCAAACCATCTTGGTTTGATACTTAATCACTGTTTGCATTATTTCAGGCAAAGATTGTTCAGAATTATATCAGAAGGGGAACAGATATTCCGGAGTATATACAATCAACCCGTGGTCTACCAGCAGTATTCCAACTGAAGTTTTCTGTGACATGGGAACTTCCGGAGGCGGTTGGACGGTTCGTCATTAATGTTGTTTTAAAATGTATTGATTTTATGGCGGATCCAGGTATTTTACCTCGAGTGGAAAGAAGGGGGCATCCACTCGCAAAG